CATTATTCAGAGCCCCAGCTCAGGGATGAGCTATATCTTACAGACTGAGGCTGATACTGACGGGCAGAAAATCTCACTCATTTTATTTTTCTCACTCAAATACAAAATTTACCTTCTGGAATTTAGCTATAAATGGTATGCTCAAAAACAAACCTTTCTTGGAATGTATATAATGAAAAATGATACTGTGTGCAAATTCATAGTCAGAGCGTTTTCAGAAAGCCAAAGTCATTGCTGTGGAATCTAAACTGATTCCAGTGGGTTTTCAGAGACTATAAATTGCATGGGAGGAGACTGCTTGTCTTCTGTGGAGCCACTGGTGGATTCAAACCATGCGCCTTGCGTTTTTAGTGCAACTCCTTACCCATTAGGCCACCAGAGCTCTATGAGAGAGTTTAAAAGACATTTTAAAAAAAATGGGTTCCTGCCAGTGTCTAAAATAACCCTTCTTTTTACTAAAATTAAGAAAGGGGGTTTTAGAACACAGTGTGTTACCACTTCAGGAAATGTCTTTTTTTGCAGAAACCTTAACCAAGGACATGGAACTCCTTGAGGGAGCTGGGGAAGCATTTTGCTGGTTACAGGGTTCAGAGACCAACCTATGTGCTCAAAACTGACTTTGAAGTCTCCTTTTCTTATCTGTACAGTGAGGCCAGCACTGCCTAGGACTAATTCCTGGGTGTTCAGGGAGGTAATGGAATAAGGATGTATGATGCACTTAGCTCAGTATCTGCTATATAGTACATTCTCAAAAATGTGATTTAATATTATGATTCAAGATTAATCGCTTTCTGGGGAAAAAAATTGGCTTCACATATGTTTCTGTAATTCTCATTCTGTTTTATGTATAAACCAATTTCTTATGGTCTTTTAAGCATTGACTAAAGTGTCTAGCTTTAGCCAGAAGAAGGTTGGAAGTTTGAAGCCCCCAGTCACTCCATGGGAGAAAGATGTGGAAGACAGCTTCCATAAAGACGTAAAGCCTTGGAAACGTCATAGATAAAGTTTCCCCTATGCTGTTGTCTTCCTGTGAGTCAAAATTTACTTGACTGCAATGAGGCTTTTGGGTTTTTGTTTTACTTTTTTTGGCAAGAAGTGACTCTTCTCAGAGAGAGAAAGGGTCTAGGCAAAGCAGTCTGCCTGCCTACCTGGGTCCTTGGTGGTTTAGACTATAGTATGGTGCAAATATAACCAAATGACTGTGCATCTCTGACGGTTCGAATCTACCAGTGGCTCCACAGGAGGAAAAGGAGCACTCCTCTCAATTTGTAAGTCTTTGGGAACCTAATGGCAAGTCTATGAGTCAAAAGCCACACAGCGTCAGTGAGTTTAGTAGAATTTGGTCCAGGACACACTGAAATAGTTCCTCTCTACAAAAAGGCAAGTAGCAGGCATTGTCTTCCTTGATGGTCCCCCGAGACATTTTTCCTAGTTATGAAAGTAATGTGTATTATTAGAGAAGTACAAAATAGTCCACACCCAAGAATAATTTTTGTGGTGCCTGAGGAAAAGAGAAAACACATTTAATCTCTGGGAAGTTCTGTGTCTGATACAAATATTAATGAGTAGAAATAATCTGTGTGGATGTTGCTTCTGTATTACACATCCCTCAGCGAGCCTACCGGCTCCATAACACTGGTTACAAACAGTTCATATGACCCTGACTCCTGGAAACCCCCCATGAGCAGCACAAGGCTTGGTCTGTAGGCCTTTCAGTGGCTGACCTTGTCTGACAAGACCAGCAGGCCTGCCTTCTAGGTGCTTCTGGATGCTCAAACCACCTGCCTCAACCATTCCCAGCACAGAAACTCTGCAGTTCTGTAGATTCTCATAAACTCTTTGGGCTGGAGAAGAGGCACTGGCTGGCCATATCGTTTGTGTTGTTGGGTTAGGAAAATGGATATGGTTTGTGTATAGATGAGTCTGAACCAACCCATAGCTGACCCTTCAGAGTTTTTTCAAAGGCAGTAAATTGCATGGGAGGAGGTTGCCTGTCTGCAGAGTAACTGGTGGATTAAAGCCATGTACTTCTCAATTGACAGCACAATGCCTTACCACTAGGCCACCAGACCTCCTAAGATAAAGTGTTTCAATTTGCATTAATTTCTTACTCCTTTGTATCTATGGCTAAGAAAGGAAGGCTCTGGAGCTGGATAGACTTCAGATCCGTTCAGTCATCCATCCATCCATCTATCCAGTAGCCAACCAGAAAACATGTGGAGCAGCTGCTAGTCACCAGTCGCTCTGCAGGCGCAGAGGTTGTAAACCACTCCTCACTTAGCGACGTTTTTAGGTTCCAGATCATTTTGCAAAAGCTAGTGTTACACAAAAATGGAGGATGACTGTATCATTACATAACCACCAAACTTCGTCACTTCCTAACTGCCAAATTACTTCATGACACAATTAGAAAGCCACTGAGAATTGTGGTCCAGCCAAGTTGGCTTATTAACTCTTACCACCATTTTACTCTTACCCCGCATGGAGCACTAATACACAGAATACTACTGCAGGGTTTTCACTGTTGCCATAAATATGCAGTGTTAGACAATTACATAATCAATAAGTGAGGTGTGCTGCCAGTCAGCTTTTGCTTTGCTAAGGACAGTTCCAAAACGCCCTCTATTCTATGCACACAGACCACCTTTGACTGTATCACTGAGAAGTGCAGTTCCGTTGGTTTTACATCTGTTGTAAGACCTCATTCATATTAAGTGGACACAGAACTCTTAACTCCCTCAAGCCCTGAGTCGGTGATATTAGTGGAAACACCTCAGCACTCTTACCTAAATGTGTTTGCCTGCGCCAGCTCCCCCTCTTCCAACTAATCTTTTAGTCCTCTAGAGGCAAAGCAAGGGCACTTCTAAAATGACCATCTCCAGCCTTTTTGTCACCAAGAATGCTGGTCCAGTTCTCCTCACCCGAGTCACCTTATTATGGAAAAGGGAATCTTGGGTTTTAAAAATCACATAGGTTCAACAGCATCTAATCTAAGAGCAAAGTGAGACAAGGTGACAAAGCAGCCTGCCCTCACCGGCCACATTTAAGGTCACTTTTTGTTCTGACATTCTCGGCAGCATCCATGCTACAATGGATGTTGGACATTATGAACCAAAAGGGCTCAGAATTCAAAAGATAAATAAACATGATGCTAGAGAGTTACGATCTTCATGCTGCCACCCAGGTATGAGCTCCGCATTCAACTTCTCCATCTCTCAGGCTTTCATTAAAATACTTTTTAAAACACACCAAAACTCACCCACAGCAAAACACCACAATTAGTTGTCATTCAAACAAGCAAACCCTGATTACTTCTGGGGTGTAGAAGAGAATGTCCAGCCCATATGCCAGAAACGTCAAGGAATGTCCCTGAAAGGTGGCGCGTGGGATACCAGGCGTGATGGGTGTACAGGCTCAGGAGTCAGCAGCTGCGGCTCGGAACTGTCAGCGATGAGACACAGTGGGGGGACACAGCTGTCACAGGCTGCTGCCAGCAAGCACAGACAGGGTGTGGCTTTACACCATAAGGGTATAAAAAACAGCTCTTCCTCCTCCCCCCGCCCCCCCATCATGGTAAAATATACACCACACACTTGCCAGTTCTGCTTTTTTTTGCACATGGCATTTATTATATGAGATGTGTTGATGCCACTGTCCCCAGCCTGCAGTCAATGCCAAATTTTCCATCTCCATTAACAGATAATGAGAAACAGCTCTTAAGCAAAGCAGAGATGCTCTCCCACACACTCATGCCACTTCCCTGCCTGCTCCCCTTCAAGACTAATTCACAAAGTCAGACTAAAAACAGATCCATCTTGTAAAATAACCACAACCACATCTCCTTTTCCACAAGCCTAGAATGCTTTTTCTAGAATGCTTCCCCCCGCCTCCTCAACAAAAACTCTCAAACTAAGGAAACCCTCATCTTCTCCTGACACTAGAGGAACAAATGTTTATCTCACAGTGATTATTCAGGCTTGTCTCCCCATACTTGGGCATAGGTTTCCTGAAGGTTGTTTCTTGACCTCAGCAGGTGGAATGGTGTCTGGTATGTGGAAGGTATTTGGCAAATGTTTGCTCAATGAATAAAAGTTCTAAGACACCCCCTAAAGCCTCACTTTAAAAAGAAAGAGTTATGGTTGGTGAATGTATCTTTTTTATTATTATTCATTCATTGTTGCACATTTTCCTCCCTTTCCTCTCTCCCACAGCTGTACCTCTTGTAAACATGGGAGAGAGGAACTGTGGCTTGAGGATTATGAATTTGCCTCTTGCTAAAGCCATTCCAGCAACTCTGTAAGGCAGGAGAATTGGAGGTGCATGTTTTGGAAGGACAAGGGATAACTTGTGTTTCCCACAGATCAGGCTGTCTCCCTCAGTCATTCTCAACCAGGGTGTAAATGGGGAATTTGGCAATGTCTGTAAATACTTGTGGTTGTCACACTGAGGACAGGAGGTGCCATTAGCATCTATCTGGTGAGGTGAGGCCAGGTTTGCTCCTAAACATCCCACCATGTATAAGACCCCAAAGCAGAAGGATCTGACCCAGAATGTCACTAGTGGCATTCATACAGCATCTATAATGGGCAGAAAGCCATTAGCTTCTGAGGAGATGTTTTCTCCTGTGAAGCGGACTTGTTCCTGCAGCCCAGGTGTGGCAGGAGGTTTCAGGTGCATTAGAGGCTTCAATAAGTGTAAAAATATAGCAGGCAGTTGCTTTGAGGTTTGCATCTCACCCGTACTGCCCAGCAGCCTGCTGGGGCTCAGAGGAAGCCTCCAGTCAGGAGGCAGCTCTGGCCCTGGCTCCCTCAGGCTTGGCTCTGGCTTTCAGCCCTGATGGGCCTTCTAGTGATCGCATCTGTAGTAATGGCTCATGTCTGTGCATGGGCTAAGCCTTGAACTCCCCAGCCTGCCTTTGCTCAGCACATTTACAGGTCACCTCTGAAGTGTTACTGACACCATGTCTCTTTGTGTTGTCTTTTTTTTTTTTTGTCGTCCAGACACCAATTCTAGGGCTTCAGAACATCTTCGCGGCATCTTTCCCGAACTGAACTCAGATTTGGCCAGCAAAGACCTGCCTGGCCGCATCCTGCTGGACATGGACAATGATACAGAGAGCACTGCCCTGTGAACACAGCTGCCTCCCAGCCTTGATCTCGTCCACCCTGGGGAGTAGAGCAGGGGTCGGCAGACTTTGTTTATCTCTGCAAGACCCAACAGTGAAAAGCTTTCAGTGGAGGGAAAAGGCAGCCGATGACTGGACTGGGCCGCCTTCCCCACAGCCCGAGGAGAAAACAGAGGCTGGCACTTGAAGCTGTATGACCTGTGTCTCGAAGAAGCTGGCGTTCTCATTGCAAGTGAGACATCCATCATGCCAAGCAAAAACCAACAAAAGCCTAGAGTGGAAAGAGTATTACTGCTGAGCTGTGTACAGGCAGCTTTCCTCACTGCTGTCGATACAGGCAAGCACCAAGAGCAATTCAGAATGAACGCGAAGCAATGCGTTAACTATCTATTTAATAAAACTCATTAATTGTGCAAAGTCACCTCCTTCCCGCTAGTTGGACTTTTTTCTTATATCTTAGGAGAGAAGTTTCTCCCCCTACCAACCTTGCTGCAGAATCATTTTGTATTGAGTATTGTCTGTGTCCCATCCCTCCCTGCCCCTCTCGAGACTATGAGCATGGATGGTGACCGCTGGATCTGTCACCTCGTCAAGCTGGATGTCACTTGTGCCTTCTCGGATTGCCGGACTGGAGAAAGAAATGTACTGTTCTTTGGAATAAACCCAACAGCATCCATGTAATTGCTGCTTGATAAAGACTGAGTATCATTCTAGTCTCGTGTTTAATTTGAATTAAATATATATATATATCCTGTGGTTTATAGGAAAACGCTATCATTCTTGGAGGCAAAACGGATGAGTATGTGTGTGTGTTTGTAAATACATGTGCTCCAGCGTGCCAATGATCATGACAGTGGCACAGGACCAGGCAGCATTTTCTTCAGTTACACATTACTTTTTCCCCCCTTTTATTGGGAAAAACATATTGAGGGTACAAGGAGGTGAGGGTAGGGGGCAGAAGGGTGAGGATGGGCCAGGATGCAGTTGCAGAGCTGCACAGTTTGGTCGGTGGGGGGAGCAGGTGAAGGAAATGATGAGGGTCCAGTGGGGACCAGATGCTACAGAGGAATGACAAGCATTTTCCAATGGTAATTAAACCAACTGTCTTATTGATTTGGGAATTGGATGCCGACTCTCTGGCTTCTTCATGCTGAACAGGGTCGTAGGTGTAAAGGGGGGGAAGGGAGGACGCTTTATCTCCTTACTGGTGGTCTTGGGTTAAAGCTGCTTGCCTTCTTGCTCTGTTAGAAGATATTTTCCTGTCATTTGCTCCCCTCTGGACTGCAAAGTGTTTTCCCAGGTGGGTCCAGTGGGGATGGCTGGTTGAACCCAGAGGCTCCATCCTCCTTTGCTTCCTCAGCTGTCAGTTGTAGTTCCTTTTTGTCACTGGCACTGGGTTCAGGGTCAATTCTGGATTAAAACTCAGAGTTAAGGTTACCTATAGGAAAGGGAGCAAACCTAGAGAGAACAAACTTGTGAGTTACAAATAGAAGGGCTTTGAGAGTGTTGCTTTCAGGTTTACTGGGGGGGGGGACAGAGGGAGGGTGGCAGAAGGTGGCCTAGGTAACATTCTCTGGATACCCTAGGCATTCTTTTTTTTCCCCCCCTTCCCCATCCAGGGGTCAGATGGCACTATCTGAGGACTGAGGAGCTCATCCTGAGGGCCGCGACGGCTCATCCTGAGCTGGAGGCCAAGGGCAGCCCACCCCAGGCAGAGGGCCGCAACGGCTCGCACCGAGCTGGGGGACGAGGGCAGCCCGACCCGGGCAGAGGGCCACGACGGCTCGCCCTGAGCCAGGGCCCGAGGGCAGCCCATCCTGAGCAGGGCAACACCCCCCAGGAGCTGGCTGGTATACTCCCGCTCCAATTGCCCCTACCCCAGACTGGTCCCCTTGTCTGGCTGAGGACTCTGTGGTCAGGGATAGTGTCTCCCATTCCAGCACTGCCACTTTTACCCCCCCCCATAAGTGGTCATACTATATTTTGAAGTAGGTGTCACTGCCCTCCCCCTTTATATATGATAAAGGGAACCTGAGAATTGTGAACAGACTCCCCCCAGGTCTAACCATCTTTTGGCAGAAGGATTCAACAGAACAAAATATGTGGTGCATTTAGGATGTCGGTCCTCTTGTGCATGCTGCCACTGTTAAGGTCATCAGACTCACAGTGACTTTCAGCAATCCATTGTTATAGGTAATCTTTGGCCTGTCCAAGAAACCCAAACCTGCAGATGGCGGGCATGCATCCCATCCCCCACCTCCTACGCAGACGGCCAGCGGCGCATGCGCCCCGCCCCCCAGCACGGGCGGCTGGCGGGCGGCCATTGGGGGCATGCCCCCCCACCCCTCCGCATGGGCGCTTGGCGTGTGCGCGGCCCCTTTTGTGTGGGTGGCCAGCGGGCACCGCTTCCCCCACTGCCGCCATCCTGGCTCCAAGAATTCTCTCCAGAACAAGTCCACCTTGTGGCAGTGTGGTGGCTTCACTGTACCAGTCTTGAGGAGGACCGGTGCCCAGCATCCATCCTGGGTGAGGGAATCCTTTGGTTCTGGCTGTGGAAGCCTCATGGAGCTGCAGCGGCTGCGGCACGGGCTCTGTGGGAGGGGGGTGGGAGCCATGAGACTCACCCATTCCTCCTTGGGAATCCTTGAATTCCTGTTGTTGAGCCTCGATCTTCACTGAGGGCCAGTCATCAACTGTTTAAGTGTTCAATTATCAATAAGCTGAAATCTGTAGGAGGCCATAATGGCCCTGCTTTAAGTGGTTTGCTGCTCCCACAGCTCACCACGCTGTCTCTGCCTCCACTGCCATCTTGGATCTCCGCCTTTCTACATTTAGGGTCACATTACTTAAAGCTGACTTAATGCTCACTGGCAGCTAACGACAGGTAGTGTGTGTGTGTGTGTGTGTGTGTGTGTGTGTGTGTGTAGGCACGTGTCCATGAGACCTGTCATTTAAACAAATAGAATTGTGAATGAGATTTCATTGGGACTCTGATTATACCAACTAGATAACATGGTGCTATTGAGTCAACTAGGTTTCATAGCGACCAACAGATCTGAACCTCGCCCTATCCTGTGCCATCCTCACCATCTCTGATATGCCTCATCCCACTGTTAGAGTCACTGCATCAACCTACCTTGTTGGGAGTCCGTTGGGAGTCATCTCTCTTTTCTCTGACTCTCTAGTACGTCCTTTGCCAAGGACTGGCCCTTTATGACAACATGTCCAAATGATAAGACAGTTTTGACACCCTTACCTTGAAGGGACACGCTAAGTGCATTTCTCCGTGACAGACTTTTTTGTCCTTTTGTCAGTTCCTGGGATAGTCAGTATTACTTTCCATCACCACCACTCAAAGACATCAGTTCTTCTGTCATCCTTATTCACTGTCCAACTTCCTGCTGCATAGGAAGTCATTGAAAAGACCATAGACATTGGGGGTTGGGGGGAAAGCAAGGTCAAAGCTGTGAAGCCAGCCATCAGGCCACTGGAAACGTAGACTGATTGTCACTTAGTGAATATTCCACGGCGGTGGGTCTGCTCTGCCTTTGGTCTTACTAGTCTTGATAACCCTTTCTGGCTCATCTAGAGATGCTTAGACTTCTGGCTGCTGACTCAAAACAACTGATGCACTGTAAGCCAGATGCATATGTCAGAAGCTATTACTTTCCCTGGACCTTCCTCTTTCCAGTCGTTAGAGTGCTCTCTGTATCCAAGGTTCTTTCATGTTTTCCCAGAATTGAAATATATGGAGATAGTGAGCGAGGAATTGGATCCAAGTGAAGCAGAAGTCTTTGATGTCCTGCCTTTTTGCTAAGAGCACATCTATCTACGCCTGGTCTGTCCCTGTGGCTCTGTCTTGTGTCTAGAGAGGGATACACACTGCCACCATTGGTTCCCTCCTCCATTGATAAAATCATTCCCTTAGGAGATGTTGGATCTCTTTCTGTTGTTGTGTGCCATCAAATTGCTTACAACCCGCGATGACCCTACGGAAACAGCTCTGAACCCTGTGCTAACCTGAGCCAACCTCGCTGTCTCTGACACACTTGACCCCATTGCCACAGTCACTGTGTCAATCCATCTCATCCAGGGTCTTCCTCTTGTGCTGACCCTCTACCCTTCCAAGCTTGGTGTCTTTCTCCATTACAAACTCACATTTAAGTCCAAAAAAAGCAATGATTTTCTCTTTCAGCACAAAATTCTGTGTTTTCAGAGTCCTCCTACTTACAAAACATTTTAATACATGTTCTTTTAAGGCCCCTTCTCATACGTTAAATTTATATTTACTAAGGTTCCCTCATACACCATCTCCATGATACCATTTTCTGTAAGGCCATCTCCCCCAATTAATAGTAGAACGCTCTGGTAGTGAAAGCCAAGATTTTGGAACACATTGTTTATCCATGTTGAGACCTTTCTTCAAATGGCCTAACTTTGGAAAATGCTTGCAAAGTAGAGTCGGTTCTGGATGGTGCTGAAGGTCCACGGCAAACATTCTACCTGGAATATAGCATGTCTTTCGTTATTACTGATTTGGAAATTCAGCAGGCCATACCATTATTTTATGAAGGGGGATCAGTTAAAATCTATGGTTCATTGTCCCCTTACCTTGACCACTCCAATCTTCAGAAGATAAAAATTATTCTATATGTGAAACACATACTTGGGACATGTTTTCAGGAGAGGCTAGTCCTTGGAGAAGGACATCATGCTGAGAAAGGTAGAAGGTCAGAGAAAGAGAAGTCTCTGAAGAAGATGGATTGACCCAGTGATTGTAGCAACGGGCTTGAGCTTATCAGCCCATGAGGTGGATAGTATATATGGATACGCTTAGAGCAGTGTAAGAGCAAAGATCAGATCTGTCGTTCATGGAGTCACTGTGAGTTCTAGTTAGCTCAATGGAACAATATGTATATAAACAGTAAATAGAGACTTAACAAAACTAACTCAGTCCCGTAAGGGCAAATAATGTGTAAGACCGTTATTGTAGAAGAGGTATGAGG